TTCGGACATATGGCCTAACCGCTTGTACTAATAAAGTGCCAAGGGCCTAAGTGGTCACCTTAATATTAAAAAAAAAATAAAAATAAATTGTTATCCTGGTGTGATGTTAGTATGCTACTGGCTATTATACCCTATGTGACAAATACTATAGGTTACTTTTTTAAAATATTATTTATATGTGACATGTGATATAAACAATTATGTAATGCACGTGATTTTTAATATAAAAAATCGTGTAATTAGTACAATATATACAGTATATATATATATATATTATGATATATATATATATATATACTGTATATATACTATATAATATATGTATAAATAAATAAATAAGTATAAAAAATATAAAATAAATTATATATAATACTATAGCATTATAAAATAAATCCCAAAATTTAATATTAACATAATAACTTTTTCTAGATAAAATTATGCTTCTAGGAAATAAAATTTTTATATTGTATTGTCTGATTGGACGAAATCCTTCTGAAAGTACTTTGTTTAACGCTCTTTTTGAAATTACCCTTTACGAATAACAATTAGACCAACACACATTTTAGTCAAAAGTATTAGAAATTTGTAGTTGCTTTATTGTGATTTAATAATATAGAATTTATTTATATGAACAAGACTATCATCAAAGCAAATATAAAAATATATTCTTAGAAATTTTTGCAGTAGCAATTTGATGAAAAGATCTCATCTGAAAAACATTCAATTGAAGCTCTATCGATCAGATGTCAGAAAAAATCTTGAGCATAAAACTAAAGTAAACCTACACTTTTATAGAATCGAAACTTTCTTGGTTTTGGTAGGTTCTTGCTTAGGAATGATAAGTTTCAAAATTCCATCATGAAAATTAGCGGTGATACCATCTGGATTGACATTTTCGGATAGAACAACAGACCGATGAAAACGTCCATAACGACGTTCTACAATATGAGCTTTTCCTTTTTCTAACTTTTCATCCTGTTTTATTTCACCGGAAATATTGAACACACGACCACCATCTTTAAGCTCAACATGTATTTCTTCTTTTTTAATACCCTATTTATTTCGATTTAAAAAATATATTATTAAAAGGAACTCGTTAAAGTTGACGACAAATGTCTAATATTAGACTTACAGGTAATTCGGTAAGAATCACATATTCCTTATCATTTTCGTGGAAATCCAGCCTTGGACTGAAGTAAATAATTCGCTTCTTATTGCAATTGCCTTCTTCTCTATTTTCATCATCTCTGTTATACAATCCAATTTTTTTCAAGAAATCATCAAACGTATTTTTAAGTTTGTGCTCAAAATGATGAAGGTCTTCACTATAACGTGTCATTTTGTGAGGGCGCAATGGGAATCAAAAATGTACAGTAAAAGTCAAATTTTGATAAAGATGAATATTAATATCAAATTTATAAATTTTTTTTTCTCATTCTATATGAGTGCCGTCAAGGGAAAATAAATTAAATAGATCATGTCCGGTATAAAATAATTGAAAGTCCGACGCATACGTAAACTTGTAATAATATTTACATAAATATGATATAAATCCGTTGATTTTTATACGTTCTCTAAGTTTAAACACCCTTTTATTAAAATATAATGACTAATACTATTAGAAAGCATTTTTTAGAATTCTATGATAAATTAGATTAAGTGAATAAACTTATGATTTTCTAAACTAATCTAAGCTTACAAAATATTAAGAGAAATATATATAGGGAAGTAAAAAAATTTTAAAACTTAACGATATAAATATTTCACCAGATTTGATAAAAAAAAGTTTAAATTTTATTTTGTAATTTTTAAAGTACTTTTTAATTACATATTCAATTTTACTTATAAAAAACTCACTCTTTTTTAGCTAAAAAAAAAAAGATATACGTAAATAATAAGATTTTAACATAATTTTAAATATTTAATCTTAAGCATAATACAGTATTAATACAGTATAAGGTAAATAAGAAGTGTATTTGACAAATGGTATAATGTGATAAGAAAATACAGTATACGTAGTAGTAGCTACTAAAGTCTTAAATTATATTTAAAAAAGTTGCATGTACAGTAGAGGAAAAAAGTATTCGCAATTTCCAATTGATAGTTTGAAATTTTACGAATACTTATCTGTTATACTTTTTCCCTACTGTAAATTCTTCTAAATCACTTAGACAGTAAACACACATCTAACTGATTATCCCACTCTCCAGATTGCTTTTTTTTTCAGCAATAATAAATTCAAATTATTTAGTTATTTGGTCACATACGCGCCTAGTAACGTATTGTCCTTCTTTCTACGGCAATCTATATATGATATTACAGTATGAGACCGTTAAATAAAAAATAACTGGTGGATGCAGATCATAGAATACGTAATGGCACTATGTGCTAATCGTATTTATTTATAAACATTCTTTTGTACCCCGCACCGAAAATTACGGATCCATACTTTTTCATAGCCTGAATTTATACGATTCAAATTTCAAAATTATGTTATGCGGCCTGGATTATTTCTCCATAATGAAAAATAATCATGTTGTTCGTTTTGTGTGTAATGACGGTGGTTTATAGACTTACAGTCGCTACTTCAATTGATGAAAAAAAATAAAGATGTTTCTGCTAGAAACTTTTTTCATTGATAAGTGATCATAAGTAAAAAATTCTTTTTTTGTTTTTATTTCTATTTTTTTTTTTTTTTCTATATTATTACCTAGTTCGAGAAGTCGACTTGTAAAACTGATTGTCTAATATATATTAAACATCTACTAACCTAATGAACTAAGTGAGCGAAATACGTAACAATAAATATCCACAGTGCGAAAGTTATGTTACGCTACTTTGACATCATATTCATCCAAATTATTGAGATTTTATCCTGATGATGACACAGTGCTGGCCGCTAATTATGATTGGCTAAGGCCAAACTAATATAATTCTCGTTTAACATACCGTATTTGCGCGTAATAGCGGGCCGGAGCGTTATTTTGAGCCACGGCCGAATTAAGCTTAATTTAGGCCGAAATTCGACATTACACCCCTGCGCGTTATTACGCGCAAATACGGTAACTCTCTATTTTTCAAAATTTTATAAAAAAGTACACATCGCATTACTGCATTACCAATCATATTCAAAATAATATAGCAATATATTTCGTGAACGATAGTGTATCTGGATATTCGAATGTCACAAATATCATTCATCGGATCAGATTTTTAGGTACCGGACGCAAAATTACGAAACACATGACAACAGTCATAATGCTACACTGGCATAGCTGCTTGTATCGTAAATTATTGTTACATTTCTATCATTGGTTTCATAATTTCATGGACGCAGAGACGGCACTTTCGTAATTTTAATGGCTGCCATGGACGATTCGTAAAAATTGGCTATCCATAACCCGAATCCAAGCATTATTTAACGCGAAAAAATGTATTTCACGTTTATGCAGTAAGGTATAACGGTCGGATGCTTGCTAAAGTTGCATTATACAATACTTCATAGAATTAATAATTAATAAAGTTAATGACATACAATATAGAGCCAAAATAATTCAATACTCGGAGTTGCATATTTTCATAGTAAATGAATGCGTTATCTCTGAGAATGATAGATAAAGCAATAAATTTATTTAATAAGATGATGGTTAAATTGTAATAAATACGGTATTAATAACGATAGATTAACATTATTATGATACTGGAAAAAAGATAAAAATTTTCATTAATAAAAATTGAGTTTGTTTTTTTTTTTATAAGTCGATATCAATAAATTTAATTCTCATATAATGATTCATTCGTAAATGATGAGTGATGCATTTCTTTCATTGTCAGATGAGATGCTTTCGACTATTGATGCATAACAGTTTGGATGTAGCAAAAAATATATTTATAATAAAAGAAAAATACCAAGCGTTCAAATTAAACATTACAGCAATCATTTTTATAATCCGTCTTGCTCTAAATATATTAAAATTCTTCTCGTTCAACGATGGTTTCTCAAATACAAAAACTTTTACTTCTATCGTTCTTGTTCTCGTACATGATCATTGCAACGATCGCAATGAACTGTCCATTATGTTTAAAAAAGCGCAATATATTCAATTCCTACGACAAGGCGCCTAGTTACGATAAACGTGAATATGATATGTCTTATCCTTACGACGATTATGGTTTTGACGATTATGGTTTTGACGACTTTGACGATTATGGTTTTGGCGATGATTTTGACGAAGGTGGTTTTGACGATTTTGATGATCTTGGCATGGGGGGATTGGAGGGATATGAATACGGTGGTTCATACAATGAATATACAGAATATGGTGGTGGATACTATTGATGACCATTCCGCGAGCACAGTCATCGTAATTCTTATAATTAAAGGATAATAGTTTGTTACAAATGTGGCATTGTTAAATTAATGTAGATAATTATATAATGTATTTTTTATGTACAGTATCAATTTGATGAGATTTGATTTTGAAATGTTCAAATGCTATTGTTTTATACATCATTAAATTTTAAAATAATGAATTGCTAAATCTCGCTATCGTTCTTTTGAATTAGTGCAATAATTGAGATTATAAATTTTTGTGAAAGAATGATTTATTTACCATATTGTCACGAAATAACAGGCATACTTCAAATAGTGCCCGAATTAAGCTTTAGAACATATTTCGAAATTACACTCCTGCGCGTTATTCCGCGACTACAAATAATGTATTTAATCCAGCAGCTTAAAAAAATATGGTTTCTGATTCATTAAAGTTATCTATTCCATTAATTTAGTGTTGCGTTGTCTTTATTATTCTGTATTATTGCAACCAAACCACCTAATATTTTGAGAATGTGTGCCAGGTTGGTAGCGCATAAATCAACCCAAGTAATTTGCACCAACTAAAAATTCTAATGATAACAATAATAAAACTATGTTTAATAGAACGAAAACACCATTTTTTAACGTTACTCTACTCAAATCATGTTCTTGTTATTTTCAAAATAGTACGTTTCCCTTCATTTTTTTTTATAGCCTTTAGCTTCTAATATTATTATTTTGAATTCAAATAAATATCGCATTCTTTTATTTATATAATGTTTATAAATTATAATTTTCAAAATTTTTATAGATCAGAGTGATGACAACTCGTCAAAGTTCTAATATAATACGCGTATAAAAAACCATTGGCTTTAAAAGTATGATAATAATCTCAATAAACACAAATGTGTGCTAGTAAACACACATACTGTATATAAGGTGGTATTATGGCGCGGGTGGGTAATTTGGCGCACCGAAGTTTTTTGATAATATCTTGAAATACACTGATCAGAATCGA